AGATCTGGGTTGGAAGAAGTGCAACCAGAGTGCTCCTTGGAGGCCAGGATGACCAAACTTCGTCTCTCATACTTCGGACATATTGTCAGAAGAGACCAGTAGCCGGAGAAGAATATCATGTTTGGTAAGGTGGAGGGTGAGAGAAGAAAAGCAAGACCCCAGCGAGATGGATTGGCAAAGTGGCAGCATCAATGGGCTCAAGCGTGGCAACAGTTGTGAGGTTGGCCCAGGACTGGGCAGTGTTTTGTTCTGTTGTGCACAGGATCACTATGAGTCAGTACCAACTCGATGGCACCTAATAACCCTGCAGAGCCCAGGACTATATAGTCAGCAGCTGGGCATGGGCAAAGAGGGAGCCTAGTAGAGGGGCGCTGGGCCAGGCAGCACATGGGTGGGCCAGACCTAAGACTGCTGGCCCAACAGAGCCTGGGGGGGGGGGGGCTTGTTTCAACCTGGGGCCCAGAGGAACAGAAGCCACCAGGGAGTGGGAAGGCACCCCTTTCCAGAGTCACCAGCAAAGGGCTGTGTCTGGACTCTCCTCACAGCATGAATTAATTCCCTTTCCCTCGAGGATAGAAGTCATTGTAGCTTTCATTGAGAGACAGGTGGCCCCCAGGAGGGACAAGGCACGTGCATGGTCCTGGGGAGGACCTCTTCCAGTCCTCAGCTCACCTATCCTTGCCCTTCGCCCACTCTATAGCTCCCCAATTAGTCCCCAGGCTCTGGGCAGCTCAGCTGAGGGTCACAGGAGGGCTCCTGACTGAGAGATAGCCCCAGAGACCAGGAAAGGTACCCATCTCCTGTCTCCCAGCTACGAACCCTTACAGTGCCCACTAGCTCACCGTGTCCTTGCTCTCAGGACTAAGCAGGACTGTGGCATTCCCTCTAGGCTGACAATGGCCTGCAGTGGTCAGCCTGGTGCCCACGCCTAGTGTCCACTCCCATCACTCTGGAAGGCCTCAGAGCAGTCCTAGAAGAGAAGCCCTGTTTGTGACATTCCAAAACACATCCCAGGTTTTCCCTGACCTTCTTCCTGCTGAGATCAGCACTGCAAGGGCTGAGCAGAGTCACTGGGGTCTCAGGAGCAGCCAGCAGCTCCTGGAGGGCTCCCCTTGTATGCAGCAGGCACTGGTCTTGATTGGAGATGCTCTGCGGTTTCTCTGGGTGGCAGGGAATGAGTGACCCTCAATTCAGGACAATCATAGGTACCCCATCTGTACCCGACTGGGAGTGTCCCACTGGTGTGTGTGTGTGTTGGTGAGTGTGTGAGGGGATGTTCTAGCATGGGCTCCCTGCACAGCTCCTCCGGAGACTCTGGTGCTCTTGGCTCAGGGTTGTTTCTGATGTGTGGCCAGGTGGGGCCAGCACACTGTGAGCTGCTGGAGGCTACATTCACCTGGCATAGGGCACAGAGCAGGGAGCATATCTGGGGGGTGGAGAGGGATAACTGCCAAGCCCCTCCCTGGGTCCCCAATAAAACCCAGGTTCCTGGTACCCTGGGGCCAGGGAGGTGGTGGCCCTCCAGTGGAGGGACAGCCAGACTGGCAGGAGGGGAGGGGGGCAGGTGGCCCCATACCCCTTTCCCATCCAGCTGACTCCACCGCCTCCTGTGGGCTGTCAGGATTACTCAAAAGGAGCCAGTGAGTGGGGGTAGATGTGTCCTGACTGGCCTGACCTTGCTGGCCTCAGTCTCCCCATTTGTAAATAGGGCTGTGCAGACAGGAAGGGGAATTCACTGGTTCACTTGTTTTCAGCATCATGAGCTGCTTGTGAGGGTCGGCACCCCCATCCACACTTCCTTTCCTCTGCCCTCTCCATCCCCCACCCTGCCAGTTGCTCCAGGGCAGCTGTCTGTGGGGAAGTGGGAGCCCAGATTACTAACCCCATTGACTCAGCATGGTTTCTGGAATCAGTGGGTGGCCCGCTGACCGCTAGGAGACTTAGCCCCCAATCCCTGCCCACAGAGTCCAGCAGTGATGCAGAGACACAGCTAGACCTTAGGACGAGTTCCCAGGCCCTGGGCTGCCAGGGCCAGAGGGGAAGGTCTCAATGAGAAGGACCGCTGGGTGCAGGAAGGATGGGACAAGCCCATCTGGGAACCCCACTGGCAAGGCAGGAAGGCAGCTTGGTCCTCTGTCCTCCAACAGGGTAATAAATCAGTTTGGGCTGGCCAGTGTGCATCAGCCTCAGGATTCCTTCATGGGGCCCGCCCCCTCCAGCACCCCTCCCCCCACTGGAGCGTCTCCAGATGAAGGAGCTGCCTCCTCCCCTCCCCTAGGTGGGAGAAGGAAAGTGAAGTTTCCGAAGCTTGGAAGAGGGAAGTGTTACCCCACAGCCCCTGGGGATTTGGGATTTGTGGAGTCCCCGAGGGCCAGAAAGATTTGGATGGTAGGACGGCTTTCTGGGAACAGCTACAAGGCATCCCACACACTCCCGTGGCACCCCGTGACCTTCAGGGGCAGGGTGATGTCAGCCCCAAGACTCATGTGGGACTGTGGCCCTGCTGGCCTGGAGGGCTAGGCTCTGAGAGACTGAGGACGAGCTGCCAGCCCAGCAGCTGCTGCCACCTCCCCCTTCCTGGGCTTCCCTCGAGGCCACTCTGGCCCCAAAGCCAGAAGGGGAGGGGACCCAGCAGCTACAGCCACCCAAACACAGAAACAGCTGGGCCCCAGCCCGAGCTTGGCCCTGTCTTCTAGCCCTGCTGGGTCCCAGACTAGGAGAGGGAGGGATTCAGGGCCTAGCCAGGTGGCACTTGGTGTGAGTCTAGAGCAGCCCAGGAAGGTTCTCCCAGGTACACAGCAGGCACTCGAAGGACCACTTCTCCTAAGGAGCGAGTCTCACCCACGCACACAATGCCGTGAGCACGGTTCTAAACTGCAGAGAGGGTTTCTAATTTGAGAAGGTAGCCCAGCTCAACTATGAAAGGAGAACCCTATTAGGTCGTTTCTGAGAGAGCTGCCCAGGATGACAGGGGAGCAGGGGTGGTCCCTGTAAGGGTCTAGTAGGTCAGGGACCCTCCCATGAGCCCCCCTCAAAAAAGACCATTCCCAGCTGGCAGAGTGCCTTTCAGGAGGATTAAGGTGATGACGCCATGTGAAGAGACAATTGTAGTGGGGAGGGAGACGAACCAAAATCGGACCTATTGTGACAGGCACGGAGACACCCCCAAATCCCGGGAACCCAAGCGTCCAGCTGTGCAGTGGTCACTAGAGAGCTGATTCCGTTTCGCAAACTAACGATCCGGGTTGCTGGGGCAGATGCCCAGCTGGACGCGGACGAGCGCTCTGGACCCGGCCCAGCCCCCAGGCCGCCGGGGGCGCTCGCTCGGCTGCCTGGAGGTGTTCGAAGTTGGGGAAACAAAGAGCGAGGCCGCTGGCCTGGGAACAGCGGGCCGGCCAGCCGAGGTCATGGACGATGAGGGTCGGGGGACGCTGAGGGCCGGGGTCGTCCAGCGGCAACGCAGCCCTCCCTGACCTGAACCACCACCGGTGGAGGCGCGGGGGTGCCGGGTTCCCACGGGCTGGCCCGAGGCCAGCAGGTGTCCCCTCCGGACGGCCGGCAGGACCCGGGGGCCGAAGGGTTAAGCCGGCCCGCCCCTCCCCCGCTCCGACCCTCCCCGGGGCGCTGGGAGCCGGGCGGGCCGGGGCGGGGCCTGGCGTCTGCGGGCGGGGCCGAGCCGGGTCGGGCAGCCTCGGAGCTCTAGAGCGGCTGGGCCACTGCGGCGCGGAGCCGGTCCCGAGTCGGGAAGATGGCGAGGCAGCGCGCGCCTCTCTGCGTTGGGGGCGCCCCCTCGGGCCGCTCCCGGGGTCCCGCGTCGCTGCTGCTGGTCGGCCTAACCTTGCTGGGTTCGGCTTGGGCCACGGAGCCTGGGGGCTTCAGCCTTCACCCACCCTACTTCAACCTGGCCGAGAGCTCCCGCATCTCGGCGTCCGCGACCTGCGGCGAGGAGGACCCCGCACGCGGCGCTCCGCGCCCCACGGAAGACCTCTACTGCAAACTGGTGGGAGGTCCAGTGGCCGGCGGGGACCCCAACCAAACCATCCAGGTGAGTCAGAACCGCCCAGGCGTGGGGAGCACCGTCCGGAAATCTGCCCCACCACGGGGGCACATAGGACCCCGGAACTCCAGCTAGACGTCCAGGGAATGCCTGGGCGGGGCAGGGTCCAGGTACCAACCCGAGTCCCCACGTTCTGTCCGACTCTCCGGTTTCGCATTTTGAAGAACGGATCGAAACCCTAGGACGGCTTGGCCGGACAACTGCGCGCCATTCTGAAAAGACGGAACGCAGTGTCCCCGGTGCGGACCCGGGTGGGAACCCCGGGCGAATTCCGTGGCGGTGAGGGGGCTGGAGGGGGCCCGGACGCCTAGTCCCCAGCGGCCCCCGGTCCTAAGATCGAGGGGAGGGCGGGACTTGGCCTCCGCCGCAGGCTGTTTATGGGGAGGAGGCTGGCGGACTCGCTTTCCCCGGGGCAGGCTGGAACCTGCTGGCGTTGGGATGGGGATAGGAATGGGGTTGCGGGGTGGGCAGAGGAGGGGAGGCCACCGCCTGCTCCTCCCTATTCAGGACACGGGAAACTCAAAGCCTGAAGTCAAGGGTTGAAACCGGGGTTTTCACGGGTGGTCTAGGAACTTGATGGGACACCCCCCTACACACACACACACACACACACACATACATCAGGTGGGGGGTGGGGCTATTTCTGGACGCCGAAGTGGTGGGTTCTAGGGTTACTGGGCCTTTTCTCTCCCTCGGGAGGTTTTAAATTCTGAAGGCCCTCTTGAGACATGGGGGTGGTGGGCCTGTAAGTGGGGAACCGGGCGGTCAGGGGGTAGACCAATGGCCAGGCACTTAGTGCTGGGGTCCAGCAAAGGCACCTTCGGTCAGCCTTCGTGTGGGGGACCAGAGTGTGCTCCAGGGCGGGCCCCAGATCCTGCCACTGGCCCGTTCCCACCCCTCCCCCACCTTTGGAAAAGTGGGACCATAGGAGTCCGTTGTAACCTGAGCCCCTCCTCCTGGGGCCTGGGCTCCACCTCCCAGGAAGGAGTGGGGGTGGGGATGAAAGTGGGTAAAGAGCCCAGAGGCTAGGGGATGAATGAAGGCTCCAGAGTTGGGCCCCATTGCTGTCTGCCGGGTGTGGTGGAAAGAACACCTGTCCAGACACAGCCATGTGACCTTGGGTGGGTCACTGAGGTTGTCGCTCCCCTTTGTCTTCTCTGGGGTAGGGAGGATTGGAGCAGTGCTGACCGCTCTGCCTGTCAGTCAGTGCCCTCGGGCCTCCTCTGAAGCTGCCAGGGAGGCGGCTGCTTTTTGCTGTTCCTAGGGCTGCATCTCCCAAGAAAGCAGCATGATCCCCGGGCCCGCCTTCAGGAGAGGGGGTGATGTGGGGCCAGGGCACCCCAGGAGGGCCTGGTATGATGGGCAGAAGCTGGGTCTGGGCAAGCCAACACGTGGAAACCCCAGGTGGGTAGTGAGTGGAGGGCTTCCAGGCTGCCCAGGGGCCCTGCAAGGAAGTTGGGGGCTCTGCCACCGGTTTGCTGCCTAGTGACTCATTGGAGGGAAGTCCTTATCAGCTCCTCACTGTTTCCTTGCTAGTCCTGGCAGGACCCTCTGCAGAGGAGGAGTGTGTGTGTGTGGGGGTGCTCAGGCAGCAAAGCCGGCAGAGGAAGGGGTGCAACTGTGCCTTCCCTGTCCAGCTTGGGGCCATTGGGGACTCCAACTGCCTCTCCCTAGTGGCGCTCTCTGGAGACTCTGGCCACTGAGGCGGACGACCCTCAGCCCTTAACCCAGCTTTCCCACCTCCCCCAAAGGTCCTTCCCACCCCACCCAGGAGGCTGTGCCTACACTCACCTTCTCCAGGAAGCCTCCCAGGCTCCCACCTAAGCTGTCCTGTCTACTTATGCAGTACCACCTCTCTGCTGTCCTCCAGTTTTCTAGCTGGATCCTACAAAGCCTCCATGTGGCAACTCTAGCCCCGTGGGCATGGAGACCTAGCTGAGAACCCCGCAGCCATGGTCCCTCACTGCCCACCTCCCTGTCAAGAGTACCCAGGTCCCCAGGAACCTTCCAGGTCTTGATTCAGACAATGGAATATGTCAGACAGGTGATGGATTAGTGAGGAGGGTCAGGTTCAGCATTGTGGGTGGTCTGCAGAAGGGAGTGTCATCTGGGACCTGAAGAGTGGATGATGTTCAACCAGTGCAAAGGCAGCATGGGGCTCTGAGGGCACCCTCACATGCTGGGGCTGACTGGCCTGGGGGCAGTAAGGGCACACCATACATATGGGGGGCTTGGGGGTTCCTGTGGCCACTGGGCCCTGGGACAGGAGAGCTCCCACGATCCTACCTCCTGGTTTTAGAACGAGGTCTGGCCCCTCGGGAGCCTGGACAGCTAGGTTGCCGCCTTTCCCAGCCAGGCCTCTCTGGGCTTTAATCAATGCCAAGTCTGAACATTGCCTTTGTATGCGGGTTTGGCTGCTCTGGAGGACTGGGCAGGCCTCCACTCGCAGGCAACAGGCCCTCCCTGGCGAGCGGCCTCCTCCCTATGACCCCCCCCTCACAGGTCCGCTGGGTGCCTCCTCTGAGCAGAGCAGGACAGGCCCCAGCAGGTGGCTGGATGAGGACGGAAACAGCTGCTGGGTCCGAGTGTGTTCCATGCAGTTTGTACGGTGACTCTGGGCAGGTGGCAGTGTTGTCCCCACTCTGCAGATACAGATACTGAGGTCCTGCTGTCGCCGTGTCTTGGCCCCATCCCAGGGCTTGGAAGTGGCAGAGCCAGCAAACCTGACACTGCCCTGCCAGCTGCCCCACGCCTCCGCTTGGGCCCATTTCCACAGGCTGCCGGAATGGCTAATTCTGTCTCTTGGAGACCCTAATCCCAGTGGCTCAGGGGCTATGGGTAGGCAGGTGGAGGTAACCTGGTTCCCTGTGTGATCTCCAGCCTTGAATAGCTACCATGGAAGGGAGACCTAGTTCCCCTGCCTGAACCCTTCAGAGTTTTGGAAAGCCTTTGGAGTTTCATTTGTGTGGACGGGCGTGAACTACCCTCCCTTTGCCCCCAACTCAGCCATATTTGCTCTTGGTCCCCACACCCCTACCTCACCAGCCTTGCCTGAGCACGGCCTGCACCTGAGGACCCTCATCTCACCCCACAGTGTCCCCGTTCACAGTGGGCACCCTCATGGGTGCACCATACCTTCTCCATCACAATAGCCACAGCCTGAGGTGAGGTTGTTGGTGGTGCTCAGTATAGGCAGGTCAGGCAAGCTGTGTATGAGGCCTCGAAGGGTGACCTTCATGCATCAGGAAGGTGACGATCCCCAAACATCTTATTTGTCCACCTGATCTCCTGTCCCCACAGGGCCAGTACTGTGACATCTGTTCAGCCGCCAACAGCAACAAAGCCCACCCTGTGAGTAACGCTGTTGACGGTACGGAACGCTGGTGGCAGAGCCCCCCATTGTCCCGTGGCCTGGGCTACAACGAGGTCAACATCACTCTGGATCTGGGCCAGGTAGGGTCCCCACTGCCCACTGCAGCTCCCACTCTGTCTGTGGCTGGGCCGCCTCTCCCTGGGGCAGTTGGGAGGCTGGGCAGAGACAGACCTGCAGAGCAGGCCAGAAACCAACAGGCAAGCAGGTCCTGGTTGGTTCTTCCCCCATCCCTGGGCACAGGGAAAGAGACTGCTCTGCCAGGGGTCTCGTGGAGTGGTGCTGAGGGTGCCCGTGGGACAGAGATGCAAATGCTAGTGCCCGAGTACCGCCAACCCTGGTGTTTACTCTAAGGAATTCCTCAGCGGGAGCCAGCAGGCCAGGGAGGGGCTGCGGAATGTAGGAAGTCACAGAAGGTGGACATTCCTGGGATACCTGGGCAGGGACTGTGGCCACACAGCAGCTTAGTGGCCAGGGCCTTGGTGTGTGCGGAGTGCTCCCACGTCTTCTAGACCCCTTGTGCTGGTGGGAGGGTGGGGCTAGGCGCCTCCCAAGGATCAGCCGGAGCTACCCCCATCCCCAATCTGACTGAGAAATCTGCCTGGCTTCACTCCTGGTCTGAGTTAGGTGCAGGCTGTGTTACCCTGTGTGACGTTGGTGTCAACACCTGTTAAATTGTCCAGCAGTCCCATTGGGAAGGATGCTTGACTTGGAACACAGAGAATGCAGCCCTGCCTATTGGGTGGTCTGGGATGGATCTCTGCTTTTTGGTGACCATCCGAGTTCTCCAAGGTGAGGGAAGAGGTGGTGACCGTCTCCCATGAGTCTCGGGGCTGTACGCGCAGAGGCTTGTAGAGCTGGCTCTGTTGGCCATCTGGGCTTTCTGGGGCCAAGAAGCCACACCTAAGGCTAATCCAGCAGGTGGACGGTAAGGAGAGTTAACTCAAATCCCAGCAAGTGCTTGGGATTTTCAGGAGGACGTGGGCTCACTGAGATGCCTCCCAGAGCGGCACCCTGAGTGTCAGGAGTGGGGGTGACCTACTGGCTCGGCATGTCCACCGGGCCCAACTCTTCATGGGGCTTGACCTTCACTGGGCTTGGCATGCAGAGACTCCACATAGCCACGACGCACTGTGGGGGCCTGTGTGTCTGTCCCTCTCTCGCACAAGGGAACTTGTGCTGAGTTGTGGGTTCTTCCTGCCCCTCCTCCTCCAAGGACAGGCCTGGCTGAGCTGGGAGAGGGCCCCAGCTCTGTGCACAATGACCTGTCTCCATGACAACCCTGGGTGGCTGAAGAGCAGGTGGGCACAGTGCCCAATGTGCAGTGGGTGAGGCCTTGAGAACTGAGACTCTGCCCCTGCAGACTGATGGCACCTTTCTGAGTCTTGATCTTCACATCTGGAAGATGGGCCGGTGACCTCTGGGCCTTGAGCAAATTGTGGACTGTCATGGTTTATAGACTGTTTCAGGGTCAGTGGAGTGTTTGCCAAGTAAACACCCTTTCCAATCCTCAGCTTCTCCAACTGTAAAGGGACACAAAGGGGAGAGGAGCCCTTTCTAGCTCTGTCTGGGAAGAGACCCACTGTCCATCCACTCTTGCATCCATCTACCCATGCATCCATGCATCCATCCATCCATCCACCCATCCACCCATCCATCCATCTGTCCGTCCATCCATCCACCCATCCATCCATCTGTCCGTCCATCCATCCACCCATTCATCCATCCGTCCATCCATCCATCTGTTCACCCACCTATCCATGTACTCAACTACCCATCCACCTGTCCTGTCATCCATCCATCCACCCATCCATCCACTCATGTCTCTGCTTGCTTATCCATCCACCTAACCAACCATCCACCTACCCATCTACCCACTTACCCAATCAGATACCCATTCATCCATCCACTCATTTACCCACCCAACAATCTGTGCTCCCAACTATCTATCATTTATCCATGCATTCAACTCACCAGCTGCTCCTCGGAAACCCTGTACATTGTGAGTCTGAACCGACTCGACGGTACTTAGCTCAGCCCCTTTAGGACCCGCACCTAGGGCAGAAAGAGAGCATAAATGAAGGCTAGCCGGGAAGGAGATCTCTCAAGCTGGAGGGCTCCAGGGAAATTTTTGGAGGACTGGACTGAGCCTTGCCCAGCTGGCCCTCCTGGTGACCCTGAGATCTGAGTCCGCAGGGCAGTACTTTCTGAGCAGACTCCTGTTACAGATGAGGAGGCTGAGGTCTGAGAGAGTCCAGCCACAGAGACCAGAGCCCGACCCTCTGCCCAGGTCCTCCTGCTTTGGGGTGGGAACGGGACTTCCACAGGGAATCCACACTGGTAACGGGGTCTGGGCTTTCCCCTGGCTGACCGCCAGCAGTCTTTGTTCTGGGCTCTGGAGCGGATACTCTGGGAAGCAGAGGGCAGGATGGGCAGTTGGCACTGGGCACCAGGAGGTCTCCCTGCTCTTTTGAGACAGGGCAGGTGCTCATGCCCTAGTGTGTGGGCCCAGGAGCTAGCAGGGGCATGTCCCTGGGAATTCATGGCGCAGCTGCTTGGGGAGTCTTTAAGGGGGCCTCAGCCATGAGCCTGCTCCTTCTCTCTGCAGGCAGATTGAGCCACCTCCATCTGACCTTCTCTCTTTTGATTGCAGGGGTGGGGGGGGTTGGGCCGTCTTCCTCCCCAGTTAGCAGGTGGAGAAACTGAGACTCCAGGAAGGGTTTGGAGGGGCCCTAGACCTCTGCTCTTGTCCCAGCTCACTAGGAGGAAACCACAGCGGTACCCACCCCCACCCCCACCCAGAGCCTGAATCTCAGCCTCCTCCCTGTGAAGGGGCCATACAGTTACTGAGGGTGAGGGGGTGGACGCCATGCAGGCCAGATCTCGAAATCTGGGAAAACTGGTTGGGTTGGCTGGGCCCCAGCCTTGGGGACAAATTGGTGACTAGTGATACCTAGAGCTATGCTTTCCCAAGTCTCAGCAGTGGCCTTGCCCAGGGCTCCTCAGTCTGAAGGGTTCTTGTTTATCTCTTTGTCTACTCTGGAAACTTCCTGAAGCCCAGGGGTCTGCTTGGTAGTCTCAAGCCCCCTTCCCAGAGGCCACCCCAGATCAGAGGAGGGACTTTACCAACTAGTCCCCCTCTCTTCTCCTCTACCTGCCTGGGCTCCACCCATACACCCAGAGCCGCCCCGGAGGAGTGCTGGCGCCTCCACCTTGTTCTCAGGCCCGGAGTTAGAGGGGACAGCTTGGGGGTGGTGCTGGGGACACTTTGGGTGTAGGCTGAGTGGTTGCATGCATGGTCAGAAATGCCACCCCTAAGAGACAGAGGAGCCCAATGGGTGGGGGTCCTGTCCTCATTGATGGTAGGGGGAGGGGCTGTGAAACCCTAGAAAAGTCCAGAGCACTGAGGTGTCCTTCTGGACACATGGGAAAACTGAGGTTCTAGCTTCAAGGAGGGTGGGTCACAGTGAGTGCTTGCAGTCCTGCGCTTGTCTGGGGTGGCGCTGCATCAGCAGTGCCTGGCAGATTTGACGAGAGACCTCAGACACCCCAGAACACACGGGCTATTGGGGCAGTCTGAGCCTACCTGGGTGGCAGCCTCAGGCCTTTGGTGTCCGAGCCGGCTGGCCCTCTGCCATGTGGCCAGTGCCTCGGGAGTCATCCAGGCGTCCGAGGGCAGTCACAGGAAGTGTGGCCGAGGGAGGATCTGATTACAGAACAGTGCTGAGACAGGTGCAGGGGCTGGGCCGGATGTGGCACCCACCGGGCTCCTGTAGGGCATTTTGGGGCCTGGACAGAGCCTTAGCTGACCTCACACAGGAACCAGTGAGACTGTCCGTCTACTAGTTTTTGTCTCAGAGTCAGCAGGGCCGGGATCCCACCCTCACCCAGCACGCTGGTCTGTGGGCTCATTTTCTGAGCAATGCCCCCACCACCTCATGTGGCCCCCCAAGACTTCCTGTTTTTAAACAAATCACACTGGCCTTCCACAAGTACCTGCTTGGTGGAGACTAAACTGTTTGGGTTTTGTTGGGACCACGGGGTGCCCTTGGATAAACTGTACTTCCTGTGGCCCAAACTGACCATCTGGGCCTGTCCTGGGTCTAGTTGCAGGGAGGAGGGAACCCTGCCTGGACTGTGCCTTCAGAGTCCTCCCTCTAAGGCAGGGGCTAGAGACAGCTGCGGGCACGGTTTGGGAAACTGGATCTCCTACCTCTGCACCAGGAGGTGCTAGGGACCCTCAGGACACTTGTGCAGCTGAGACCCTTGTCCTCTCTGGCTGCGAGCACCTAGATGCCTGTTGGGGGTTCTTCCACACCTGCCCACTCCCTGCAAGTTACTGTGGCCCAGGCCCCCACGCAGCAGGACTGGGACTACCCGAGACCTCTGTCTACTTCCCTGTTTTCTTTTTCTACTGGCAGTGGCTTGTCTGTGCACGCACCTGGCTTTTTCCACTCCACTGTCTGCCCTGGTACTGACTGGCCCGTGTGGGCCTGGCTTGTTCGGGTGGCACCATCCCAACGTGCAGATGGCTCATTTACCCACTGAGGGCTGTGATGTGCACAAGGCTTCCTGATATACTCTGTGGGGTGTGTGGGGGCCCAGCATTTGGGCTGCAGGGAGTGGTTAGGGAGCTGGCCGGACGCTTGAGTCTAGGAGGGACTTCCTGCTTCCAGCTAGCCACCGCCTAAGACCCCAGCCAGTCCCCGAGAATTGGCTTCAGACCCATCTTCCTGAAGGGCCAGAGCTGAGTCACAAACTACCAATGACTCACACCAGCTGGGGGCTGGACTGCAGGGTCTCAAGGCCCCCCAACCCTCTGGACAGGTGACTCCTAAGCCTGGCCTTGGTCTTCCAGACCCAGACCAGCCAGGACAGAACTGTGGCTGAGCCCCATGCCCCTCACTAGGGACACTGGCCCCAGGCCTTGCCTTGGAGTCCCTGTCCCTCGGAACAGCTGCTGGACCAGCCTCATCCCCATCTCCCTGAGGCTACAGAGGCCTCTGTGGAAGTAAAGAGCCCAGTCTTCTCACCAGCTCTTGCCTGTTGTCCAGAGTCAGTGCTGTACCCTCCCGCCCACCTC